GGGACGACAGAGGACTAGATAGTTAGACTGTGTCATCAAAGCTATCAACATGAATTTGACCCAACTCTGGGAGGCAGTGGAAGACTGGAGGGCGTGGCGTGCTCTGGTCCATGGGGTCATGAAGAGTCAGACATGACTTACTGACTAAACAATAACAATAAGCACCACCACCACCCAAATGAAGAGACATTTCACATCTTTGCATAGAAAGGGGAGGGTAATGTATCATTACTCTAGCACGCTAGTGAATGTTCTTTTGATTTCTGCACTACACTTCATTATATCAAGTTTACAATTGTTTGCGAGAGAAAATGTGAAATGGATATCTGACTCTCTTGTATGAGCTTTGAGTGGGTAGGTCACACTAACATCAAGAACCATCCCTATTTTAGCTTGCTGTAGGTATCTGTTCCAGCCTGGGTGAGTGGCTAACATGGAGCATTTTATTCGGTATATGCAGTGAGTGGATGCCCTTCATCAAGCAATTCCCCAATTTTCTTCCAAACTTAGGACGTGCCTTTCTCATAGGTTAGGAGAGAAAGCCAAGCCTTTTGTGTGGGCTCAATAATAGGGAACCCTGAAAACACTTGCTCCCTTGTCTTGGGATGCTCCATGTAACAACTATACTATGCAACAGAGGTGCCTTGACGGAAAGAGACAAAACACTTCTCAATCCATGTTGTTGACAGCAGGTTAAGAATCGTGGTCCTTGCAATGGCTTGCTTTCCAGGGGGCCTAGGGACAAGCACTGGCTTGGCAAAAAGTGCTCAACCAATGAAGATGGTTCCCACACCTGGGCTGTCAGCAGGTTTTTTTATAAAGGGGATGTAGGGACAAGTATCGGCTGGGCAGCAGCGCCCAGCTGACAACAGGGTTGACCTATGGAAGAATGTGAGCTTGAAAGGAGTAAAGTGCATGGCTCCTGGAAGAACACAGAAGAAAATAAGCTAGCACGTAAGAGTTCGCTTACACACTGAAGGGCTACTGAAGTTCATGGCACCGAGATGTACTGCCGATGCCTGGTCACAGTTCTTTGTTTTCCCTGTTCAGGTTCCCCCCCCCCCATTTGAAACAGAAAAACATCCACAAATACTTTCAAAAACCTGAGAACAAATCAGATCAAGTAAACAGATTCCAATTTGTACAGCAAATATGTGGATATAAATCTGATTGGATAGTATTTACACCCCCCTGTCCTGCACAATAAATACACTTTTCTTTATTTTTGCAACAAAAGAAACCATTTATTTGGAATATGCATTAGCAGTACAAATCAGGAGACTCCAAAACCTACACCTTGTTATTATTATAGAACAGAAGAGTTTCATTGGAAATCAAAAAGACAGAGGCCTTTGCCTTTTAGAAAGCGGAAAAGCTTGAAGTAAGTGATATTTTCAAGAAGATTTATATTGGAAGCTATTGCAAACAAAAGAAAGACAAAACAATTCATAACAAAGCAGGTTTTCTTTACAAGAAACAAAAGGATTTGAGATTAAGAACAAACAATGCATTTTGTAATACATCTTTGATAATAACAATAACAACAATAATATGTTACAGCTTCATGGGGAAAGGAGCATGGGAAAATAAAAGTTAACGTGAATAGTGATGTGAAAATTACACAATTATTTGCAAATTGGGGGGCTTGATAGTATCAGTTATTTTACAGTACAAGTTTTTGAGCATGTGGATTGAGCATCAAACTGCCTTCTCTTATAAGTCTAGTTCTGCATATCCTGGCATGTGTCTACCTTAAAGCATAACACTATCAAGAAAGATACAGTGGTGCCTCGCTTAACGGGTGCCCTGTTTAACGAGGAATTCACTTAACGAAGAAGATTTTGCGATCGCTTTTGCGATCGCATAACGTTGTTTCCTATGGGGAAAAATCGCTTTGCGATTTTTCCCCATAGGCTCCATTTCCCCCAGCTGACTGGAGGGGCTTCTTCTGAATCTCCCGCCAGTCAGCTGGGGGAAAAGTCGGCGGGCGGTCGGCAGGGGGGGGAAAGGGGCCTCCCTTCTTCTCCTGGCCGATCGCCGGCCAGAGAAGCCCCTGCGCGCTCGGCAGGAGGGGAAAGGAGGCTTCCTTTCCCCTCTTGGCCGATCGCCGACACAGAAGCCCCTGTGCGCTCGGCAGGAGGGGAAAGGAGGCTTCTTTTCCCCTCCTGGCCGATCGTGATCGCCGGCCAGAAGGGCGTTCGGCAGGAGGGGAAAGGTGCCTTCCTTTCCCCTCCTGGCCGATCGCCGGCACAGAAGCAAGACAGCGCTACACGCAGAATTACATTAGTCTTGCGAGGCACCACTGTATCTGATTTCACCTAAATTGCATCTGAATCCATTTTGACCGCTTAATTCCATGCCTTGAAAGGATTAGGGCCAGTCAGTTAGAAATCGGACAAATTAGGTTTATCCTGGATTAGACCCATTCTGTGAGGTGAGTGACATAGAGTTTAACTAGGCTGAGCCTTCTCCCTGGCAAGATGTATGCAAATAATCCCAGAGTCTCCAGTAATACCAAACTGGGTTTATCTGGCTAGTTTATTTTCCAAGCCTATCTGACATTTGTCTTTTAAGCCAGACAATAATTGGTAGCTATACACTTTAAAAGGGACAAAAGGCTCTTAAGAAGGAAGAAAGATTCCTGAAATCTCTGCTTCCTATGTTTGCGTGTTCATGTTTTTTCACATTCATTTCGTATCATGTGTATTTAGACATATTACCTGAATGACTGGTTTTTTTTTTTTTGAGCTAGGTAATGGAGGGTTTTTAAAAACCCATTCATAGTCTAACCCTTGTAGGGTAGGGCTAAATTTTCTAGAAGAGTTATTTTTCTCAGACAACAAAGCATGAGCTTTGGATGAGTGGGAAAACTATCTTCAAATCACAATGTGACAAAGTTTTTCAAGTTGTCTTTATTTCAGTAAGGTACTGAGGAACAACATGGAAGCTCAGTTAGTGGTTGTCATAGGTCTGTTGCCACCAACTGTAGCAAATTCTCACATTGATCAGTTTCAGCCTTCTGAAAAGTCTTGAGGTACTCAATGAAATCTCAACTAACCTCATGTGTATGTGATGATGTCATGCAACTAAATAGCTAATTGTATTTGGCTATTTTATGATATAAGTGATGATGAAGTCAATTATTTTGCTTTCACTCAGAATGAAGGACAACACAAAGCAATTGGGCTTATACTCCTTGATTTGTTGTAGTACAACCCTTAAGCATAGTGAGAAGAATGGCTGAATTGCTCACTGGTAGCAAAACACAAAGCACTGGCATGGTTGTTTTGGCACTCTGGTTACATTTATTACTTCAGAGCTCTTAAAAATCATGGAAAGGGGAGAGACTGTTGTTTTCAGAGGCATGCCTTTTCTGAGTTTTAATTTTATCTGCTACTTTGTTATTATGGTGACTCTTGTCATTTATGTTCCACCTTCATTTGTTCACCTGAGCCATTTCTGCCAATAAGCAAGATAAGGCTGAAAATGGCATACCACAGAAAATCAAAGAAGAGTAGATTTATTGTTGCTGCTGGAAAGAGCTTGTCCTTGAATCATGCTTGACTACTATTTTCAGGTCATTAAGAGCAGTATGTATAGAAGGGTAAAATAGAATAGTTAATTGGGCTGATTAATCTTAGGGATATGAGACATTTTAATACCAAATGTTGGCATTGTTTGGGCATGGACACTCCCAAAGATGAAGTACATTCTAGAGAGTATCCATTTTAATACAGGATATACCTAGATAAAACTTTTAAAATACATGACCTCATTTTATAAGCATTTCAGCCTTAGAGAAAGGATGTTGTCTGGAATTAGTGTTTTGATGGCATGAGAAAAATCCAGCGGATAAGGTGAGGAAGATTAAGTTGCCTAGCAACTATTGATATGCTTGTCTACTACTCTCTACACTTATATTGTCTGGAAGGCTATACATGCTGTTGGCAACTCTGCAACTTAGGTTAAAGCCTGCAAAGAGATACTGAAGATTATATTTGATTGAAAACCCTTGAACTAGACACCTCCATCCCAAATGTAGCTAATCAGAGGTGGGAGAAGGGAGAATGATATTGTACTTTTTATTTGCATCTTCCAGAACTGACCTGCTCAATCAGACAGCAACAGTGGGTCTATTTAACTAGTACTGGCTCAAATTATAGAAAATGGCAAAAGGAGGACCCTGAATCAATGGAAAGTTTCATGCTGTCAGGTATAGGTAGGAAAGCATTTGGACTTTCACCCAACTCTACCCAGGTTCAGAGCTGTGAGAGAGCATAACAACTCTCAGAGCCTCCATCATCTTCATATAGTTCAGTGGTTCTTAACCTTGGTTACTCAGGCGTTTTTGAACTGCAACTCCCAGAAACCCCAGTCAGGACAGCTGGTGGTGAAGGCTTCTGGGAGTTGCAGTCCAAAACTCCTGAGTAACCCAAGGTTAAGAACCAGTGATATAGTTATACTGCTCTTTTCATCACAAGAGGGACCTGCAACTGTACTCCCAAATAGATCCTAAGCAGTACAGACACTCTTAGATTAGGAATAACTGAAGAACTGGAAGAATTTGGGCAAAAACTATTTCAAATTCCTTGCTCATATCTATAGTTGTGGCACCAGAATCTGCTAACCATTCATTTTTCTGAATGAAACTATTTGCTTCTCAAAGGGACTCTGCAAGAAAACTAGCTGTTGACTGAGGGCATTGAATCTCCAAGGCTGCTGATGTTCTTCACTATTTGGAAATCTGAGGCAGTTCTGAAAAGGCTTAATGCTGTTATCTAACAGTGAGTCATTTGAGAAATGCTGAATAATTCCAGATTCATACTCAGCATTTCAAATTCCTTGCTCATATCTATAGTTCTTGTCTCAACTTTCAGGTTACGCAATTTGAAGCAATTTTTTGATTAATTCATTTACCTCATTGGATGAAAAAGACAGGGGAAAAGATTGTTTAAACTTTTCATCTTTTTTGTTACTGAAGATTTTCACATCACAAAGGATTGTTTAAACTTTTCATCTTTTTTTGTTACTGAAGATTTTCACATCACTTGGAAGAAAGTAAAAAATATTTAAGAAGAGGCTAGGAAGGGATTGTTTGTTAAGGCCATACAAATATAAAATAAAACCAAAGCAAAGGTCTGGTCTCTGGCATAAGCCCTGTTGAAATAAACTGGAGTTAGCCAGAAGAGTACAAACAGCTTCTGCTCATTTCAGTGGAAGCTTACACTGTACAACTTCTCAGTAGATTGAGCCTCAAAAGAAAAGTCTGTATGAGAGAATTCAAAACATAAAAGAAAATGTAATTTCTTGGTTTTTATAGTTAGAAAACATAAAGAATTAAGTGTACCTATTGTGTTTGCTATTCCAACCATTTAAAAAAGTTTTATGAAATGAATTACTGTCACTTTTTAAAAAACATTATGTAACAGGAAATGAATGTGCACAATTCTACACTTTTCTACTCTTCTTGAACTAATTCACAAATGCATGGAAAAATGGAAACAAAAAGAGGGTGAAGGTAGTGGTTTGATGTTAAAACTATACAGGTATGAAGCGCTTTTTTGCCACAGAAAGAACAGGGTGGGACAGCCTGTCCTTTAATGCATTCTATGAGGGTAAATTTTTTTTATTTTTTTAAATTTATTTTTATTATAAACACTATTAAATTCAGACTGCTTTTTTGGTTTTTTTTCTTCCTTTATCTGAATATACAAGAACATTCATTATCAAATGTTCATTATCAGCAATACTACAAAGAACAAGACACAAATCGCAAGAAACAATGGGAAATGTTAATAAAGCTGAAAGAATTTAATTTTTTAAGTTTTTATTTTTAATTTTTTTTAAGTTTCTGTTTTTTTAGATTTTTTTGGTTTTGGCATCGAAGTTGGGGTTTTCTGGGCAGAAAATCATGAAGCAAAAGTGTATGAGAAAAGGCAGCTCACAAATAATCAATGTAATCAATATCAATAATAATCGATATTATAATAAAATAGTACATCTGGATATGCAAAGAACCACTAGCAGTGTATGTACCGTTAAGTAGTTAGTACCATGCTATGATGGACACTAAGGAGAAGGTACATTGTTACAGGCAGATAAATGCAGCTCCATCTATATTTTCCAAAACAAAACAAAAAGAAACTGTGGTCTGCCATGCAAATTAAACAATTCAGATTCTTGTCTGAAGTGCTGTCAAGTATTTGACATCAAGTACTTTAAAATGTACCAGACATTTATACAGGGCCCAAGAAAGATTTACCTTCCAGTGGATTATGCTTCTTGTTCAACATAACAGGTTAGATACAATGTGAATGCAGCTAAGAGACATAGTGGGGAAACAGCACACAATATAATTAATTGGAATTCTACTAATTACATTTGATTATATTAAGAAATGAAACAAATGCTTTTGGAAACATTCATGCATCAGAAGAGATACTGGCCACTTTGTGAGAATGCAACTGGAGGGGGGAAAAGATAATTTTTTCCACCTGAGGATCAGATTTTATTCTTTGAAGGAACACAACCTTCACTCACTAGGTAATCTACCCCATTCAGCTGTTTTTTTAAGCCTATGACGTTAATCTTCCCCTTTGCAAATACAAAAACTAATCATGATTCTCTTTACCTCTATGTCTTGCTAGGAATAACCTGTGTGATTTGTTCAAGGCTAGAGAAAAAGCTAGGCAAGTGCTAGACTGTATATTTCCAAACATGGGGCATCAAAACTGTATGTGTTTGTCTAATTTTTTTTGCTTTTTTGTGATATAGCCTAAAAACTGAAAAGCACCTAAGATAGCTAATCCAACCCAGATTTGTTCTGCACTTCATTTTAAGAATGGCATCAATATAGATATTATGGCTTTAACAACATGATTTACGTAATCTTCCCAACCCCCTCTGCTTGACATGCAACCTGATGAAATGTGCTGAAGATTCTGGAAGCTTGCTTACTCTTTTGCAACATTTTTATTGGTCATGTTAAGGCGTTGCTTTAATGTAGATTTAAGACTTTTTCTTCTGAGCCAACATGTATTTCTTTGCTTTTTGTAGTCTTCTGGATTAGAGATGGGGCCTTTGTATTTGTAAACAAATACGAAGCCCACTGGCACAGGTGGCCTGCTCGATTACCTCTGGTCCCCAGAATATCCGCTGGCCCACTTGCAGTGTGGCCCAGGGGGCCAGTGTCATTGTCAGCATGCCAATCGCGGTAGTAGCGTGGCTGATGCAGCCCCATCTCCTTGCTCACCTCACCAGTCCACAGCTGAGCAGGGAGACTTGTCCCCCCCCTTGCTGGAGTAGCCAGGTGAGCAGGGAGATGGGGCTGCAGCAGCCAGGCTACTGCCACAATTGGCGTGCTGATGATGATGCTGGCCATGCTCACCGCACTGTCAGTGGACTGGCAGGTTCTCAGGGTGGGAATTAAACGGGCTGGCCACCTGTGCTGGCAGGCTTCTTATTTGTCTATGAATATGAACCTTCCATCTTTAATCTGGATTCATTAAACTTTAATCACAAATGCATGAAGTCAACAGGAAGGTACCAGCCAGATGGAACCATGGTTTGATTCTATGCAGAAGTCATGTGTTAATCAGGAGTGCTGTGCAATATTAGCAGTGTTACAGATGCAGCTGTGAAAAAAGATTCAGACATCTGTAACAGCTGTACAAGCACTGATACAGCAGACGAGCATCTTCTCTGGCCCATGCTAACCTATGCTGGGATATGCAGCAGCTTTAATTCTGTACTGATTAATTCAGGTTAATTATCACTCTGGTGTTCTCTGCTCATAATTATTGCTCACATGGATGGACACCTCTCACTTCCATTTTCCCAGTTTGATCATGACAGAGGAACAGGAAATAATAAAGAAGGTTAATGGCTAAATAATTTATATTGAGTGATCTTGAGTATGCATATCCACAAATCTGACCATGCCTTGGCATTCTTGGGAAGAAGCTCCATCAGAAGGTAATGGATGCTGGACTAATGGATGTAATTGTTGTTGCTATCTTAATACTTAGGTGTTCTGCCACTAATGCACAGCTTATTTTGTGTCTCTTCACTTATTTCATTGTGTCAAGAGTGCACCTGGGCAATATTTCACAACCTCCTAATCTCAGGGGCACGACTGGCCTGAAATAATTGAGTGCCTAGAACACAACACCCAGTCTGATATCCTTATCTGATAATGAAGGTATACCTCCCTATCCTGGAATACGTCTGAGCAAGCCTCAAAGAAATGAGATTTATCTCACTTTGTGGGTAGGCTGCATCTGAGCACACACAGCAACTTATAGCCACAATACAAATGTATTTTTCTGTGCTCATTTTTGATTATCAGTGTTTATGGTCTAGTGGGTTTTCTTCCACTACAAAAACATGACTTCCTTAAAGTAAGGGATCTCTCTCTCTCTCTCTCTCTCTCTCTCACACACACACACACACACACACACACACACACACGTAAATAATGTAGAAAGCCATACAAGCCTTGACACTAGATATGCATGTGTGCTGGTAAAATGAAACATGTGCTTCCTAAGCAGTCTGGAATTGTTTCCCAGGAGCTGGGCTCCGATTTTCCTCTCCATACAGATACTGGAGATTTAAAGGGTAATCAGGGCTGTGGACATTAGACTTATTTGCAGGTTCACCATGCAAGTGCAGAACTGGATAGCTTTGCCACAATGTGACGTTTTGAGAAACTTTCATTTCCTTGTTCCTTTTTAGAAAACAAGTTTTTATCTTTCATGGTTGATCACAACCACTGGAAACCCAAAGGCAATGCCTAGGTAAAGCTCATAAATCAGATGATAAAATATTGATAGTCAATATGCTATGCAAGGTTATTTATCCCTTGGCCCTTAAGCTGTTTGCCTTTCTCTCAAAATCAGTAGGTTTCATATATTTATATAAAACCCAAACACTCTTGTCCAGGTCTTTAAACAGGAATACTGAAATGAGAATAAATAAGAGTAAAAGGTAACTTACTAGCCAAAATTACTGCATTTGCATTACTTCATTCTAAGAACCAAAAATTCATTGCCTTTATGCAAAAGAATGTTCCAAAGCCCTGATTACAGTTCTAGGGTGGAGGAGGATGTAGAATGCTAATTGAGAGAAATTTCAGGAGATATGGCTGGGGCTTGGTACAAGGCACGAAGGGAGGATGATGAGTAGATCTGCTAGCATTTCTTGGTAATAACATGGCATGTTACAGACACACTGTACAGCACCAGGATTGCATTTATCCAACCTGTAACAGAGAATTCTGGAAGGCAACTCACCAAGTATTAAGAGTCTTAGAGAAAAAGACAATTGTCCTTACACGGGGGTAAGGTAAGGGCCAAGGTGAGCGATTATGTGGCTCCTGCAAAGAGGTAGTGAAAACGGCAGAGAAAATGAAAAAGACAAGTGCCTGATAAACTGCAGGGACTTAGAAGAGTAACTCCTCAAACGAGAAGGAAAAATCATCAATAAATTGTACAAATTCATTTAGAACCTGTTTTGCTTTTCTTCATATTGAAAAATACTTTGCTGTGAGAGGATGACTGATGGTGGCGGTGGAACGAGAAGTGAATTCTACCCAGAAAAGAAAGGGAAGAGAGTATAAAGAAGAGTTCCGATTGGCTGGGAAACTATCCCAAAAGAGAGAAGAGATATAAAATCCTGTTGTGTTTGCCAACCAGCTCTGGATCCAGCCCGATGGCTTCAACAGGAGAGAAGATCCCTCCCCTCTCAGCTCCCACTTCTGCATGGCGGAGAGTGGGGAACAGCCAGGGATGTTTGGTTGCTGGGAGATCAGTTGGAGGTATCAGAGTGAACACTGCCAGGGCCTTCTGTGGGGGAGGTCACTGACGAAGGAGTCGTAGCATCTTGCCAACCTCCATTAGCCTAGGAGGAACAAAGAAAAATATCTGTCAGTCACATTCCCCATGAGGGGCCTGAGCACCAAAGGGTTCCCAGCAGGGAATCTCCCTCTTCCATTCACTTAGATTACAGCTGTTGCTCACTGTCGTGAATCCCGGACAGTCACATTAGCCTTAGGTGACAGACATTTAGGTTGACTCAAGTGAAAATAACTAATTTTAATAGAGCACAAGCTTTTGTCATTATAGTCTTACTTCTTCAGACACCGGAAGCAGAACTGGCATACAGTGTACGACTATTAACAGAATATCAACCTTTCATAACCCTCATTTATTTTTAAGGGAACAGTTAAGTAATAGTATAGGATATATATCCCAGTATGGAATAAATATTTTATATAGGTCACTATGTAATATATACAAGGCTATTCTTGGAGTATTAAAATTACCTTCAGTGTTGCTTGCCTGAAATTATACAACTGCCATTTGAAGTCTAGTTCAGCTATTTAGGTGCTGTTCATAAAACACCCGCAGAAGTAAATGAAAACTCTCATGGGAATCATTTGTTTATATGATTGCAACTAGTAGCTCTCACTTCTAGCAATGGAGCAGATCCTATTTCAAATCATATTTCCCTTAACATTCAAGGTTCCTGAGATCCAAAACTCACACATAGCACAGAACTGTACAGTTGGAGGGATCATGTAGACCAGGGGTTGGGCAATTAATTTCTATTGGGGGGGCACATGAAAAATCTGAACTGTGTTCAGGGGCCGAATCAACTTTACTTAAAAATAAAATGAAACAATGATGTTATGATGGTTTTTATTTTAAACTTGCTAATCTTCACAAATACTAAAGAGGTTTTTTGCAGTATGTTAAAGATAAGCAACTGTTCAACTTTAGACAAAAAGCTATAAATGGTTTTGATGTTCAAAACTGTCTGCGGGCCAGACAGGAGCGGCTTGCGGGCCGTATGTGGCCCTCGGGCCGCACTTTGCCCAGGTCTGATGTAGACCATGTAGTCCAGCCTCCTGCTCTGTGTAGGAAATTGTGAGCTTCCTACCTCCTCAGGAGTGGGCACTCACTTTCCCACATGCAGCACACCTGTAGACTGGGACGAGACATTAGAGGCGTCCTGACGAAGCCTGGAGGCTTGAGAATTTAAGGAGGACAGGGAGGAGAGTGAGACCTACAAGGACACCCAGGTTTGGTAAGTCCTGGCGGCAGAGGACAAATTGCTGCTCCAAACGCTATCCAAGGACTGCTGGAAGAAGATGTGCCATTGGGATCCCAACACAGGATGTTGGGAGACGTTCTTGGTTCCCCTGGAGGTGGCTCAAGTATGGAGGGACAAACTGAGGTGCCAGGAGAAGTACTGGCAATCACCAGCCAAAATGCCTGGGATCTGCTATCCCGACCTGTACGGTGGTCAGGGCCTCCTGTTAGTCTATCTGTGAAGTCCTCTCCTCCCTGCGCTTCTCCTGCACAGGACCACTTCTCTGAGTCCACACGGGTTAAGATGGACTTTAGACGCAGAACCAAAGAGGAGTGCCAGCAGCCTGTACTATAGATCCATTGCTTGGGTCTAGGCCCGGTTTTCAGAATGCCTAGACCAAGTAGGAGGCAGGGATGAATTCCTCTCAGGCAGGTGATAAGATTTTCATTTTTTCTTCCCTCTTGTTCAAGGTCTCATGAACATAAGTGCAGGCTGGGCTGGGCCCTTGGCCAAGGTGAGGCAGGGTGAGCAATGGGCGTTTCAATCCTGGCCTATGCTGGCAAGCTGAAATGGCCTCAGCTGCACCCACTGCACCCAGAACTAGAGAGATCGGGTAAAAAGGGGTGGTGGCTCTGAGGCTAGGTCTGGACTCCCTGTGCAGAGACACAGATTTACAATGCTGATGGGGAAGGAGGGGGAGTTAGAGAAAGACCCAACTGGCCCCCACCCTTCCCCTGCCTCCATTGCCTGCTCCCCACCTCTACCCATTCATTATCCACCTCTCCCAGCTGATCTGTACTGGCTGCCTCCCTACAGATTTCAGACAGCAGCATGCATACGTGCCAAAAAGTATTTCCTCATCATTCTCTGGGCTTGGAACAAAAATAATTATTGTTATTTATTATCCTATTATACAGTAGGATACTTGTATTGTAGGATACAATACAAGTATCCTACTGTACTTGCCATCCATTTGCTACTTTGCACAGTAGCCGGGGGGGGGGGGCTTGGAACCGATGTGCTGCGGATACAGAGGTCCTACTGTACATCCAAAAGTTTGCTCCCTAGCCCCTGCCTGGAACCCCACAGTGGAGAAGAGGCCATCACATCACTGATATCAACTCCATTAGTCTTATCATTCAGGAGCTTCTCCAAACACACAGTCAATACCTACCCTCTTCCACCAATCCAATAATCCAATCCTGCCCTCTGTGACAAACGGACATAAGTCTTTACTGTTTTTGAACTGCAGCATTCATCAGACATCTGAAAAGTGCTTTTATGTCCTCCCCCCTTGTATTCACTCTTCTAGGCTGCCATACCCACTTCTTTCAACTTCTTTTATGTACCATTTTTGTAGCTGTCCTTTGAAATCCTTCCAATGTATTGACATCTTTCTTAAATGTGGTACCCGTAACTAGATAGAGTACTCCAGATGAGATCTGAATCACTAAAATAAGGCAGAACTCTTAATTCCCATGACTTGGACTACCACTCTATTGCTGGAACATAATATTGCACTAGTTATGCTTGAAGCTATATCACAGTGCTGACTCATTCACCTTGTGACCATCTACAATCTTACAATTTTTTCACATATTCCTATGCCAAGCCAGAATGGAGAACTATGAATTTCATTTGATAGCTTCAGCCCAGTATTACATTTGGAGGGAAATTTTGAGTTTTATTTGCCTATCATGATCATCAACCTAGAACTGCAGAGCTGGAAGGGTCCCTATGGATCACTGAGTCCAGCCCCTGCCAAGAAGGCACAATGGGGAATCAAACTCCCAACCGCTGGTTCCACAGCCAGGTACCTAAACCATTCAGCCATCCAGCAGTTCTCTGATATGTTGGTTATTAACAATTCTTAACAATTGCTGAGGAGACTGAAATTGAACAATTCTATGAAGATTTACAACACCTTCTAGAACTGACACCAAAGAAAGATGTTCTTCTCATTCTAGGGGACTGGAATGCTAAAGTAGGGAGCCAAGAGATAAAAGGAACAACAGGGAAGTTTGGCCTTGGAGTTCAGAACGAAGCAGGACAAAGGCTAATAGAGTTTTGTCAAGAGAATAAGCTGGTCATCACAAACACTCTTTTCCAACAACACAAGAGGCGACTCTATACATGGAAATCACCAGATGGGCAATATCGAAATCAGATCGATTATATTCTCTGCAGCCAAAGATGGAGAAGCTATATACAGTCAGCAAAAACAAGACCTGGAGCTGACTGCAGTTCTGATCATCAGCTTCTCATAGCAAAATTCAAGCTTAAGAATGGTTTCAGAAGAGATTATTATCATACCATCACCTTGTCTCTGTCACTGAATTTTATGGGGACTTTAGGTAACATTATCCTGAACAGGGCCTGGTGTGCTCTGGCCCATGAGGCCACGAAGAGTCAGACACGACTTAACAACTAAACAACAACCCTGAACTTGTAACTTCTCTTTATTTTCTTGGTGACTTTTGCCTTCTTCACTGCAGAAAATCTATGAGGGGGAAAAAGATGAAATGGGTGCACGGTACCTTCTAACTGCTAACATGAGGAGCTCTGGAAATGCTCTGAGACTACATCGGCAAGTTCTCAAGCACCATAGCAGGTGGTACACATACCTTGAAATTGTTTAAGGTAGCAAGGTATTTTCTTATGCAATCTTTATTGGTCTTGAATGACAGTCCCTCTCATCAATTATGATACCTGTGCAAGATTGCTCAAAGGTTCTCTTTTAAGAGAAGACAGAAGTGAAATATCAGTTGAGTAGTTCTGTTCCTCTTTATCACTTGTTAATATTTCATAGACTAGAACCCTATTGGTATTTGCATGTGGCTTGCATAACTTGCTGCAGCTAAATGATGAGGTGATGGGCCACATCTTAGTTGTGGTTTTAGGCATGTGACCAACCACACAATCAAAGGCCACCCTGACACCTGATGTATTAGGTGCCATTGGCCACAGGAAGTTATATAAATATTGCATGAATACTAAATAGGATTCTGGCCATTATCTTTACTACTCTTTCCTTTCCAGCTTCCTTCTGCTTAAAACCAGGGCAGCCTGCAGAGTGAACGTGTGGGTGCCTCACTCTGACAAGGCAGGATGAAAACACCATTAGTCTTACTTGGATCACAAATCTCCAGTATTTCAAAAGCTTTCCTAGCATCTCTATCTGTAATCAACATGACCTTTGTTGCAACACCTCGAGCCAAGGTTCCTTCTAAGGTGTATGCTTGCATGAATGCGACTGTACTCCCCTCTGTGAAGCCTTCCTCCTCCTCTGCATACTGACAGCAATAGTTTTCAGCCCATTTGGTTCTGGTTGCAATGGAACACCAAGGGGGGGAAAATCACATGTGCACATGGCTAAAGTCACATATGCAAGGGGCAAAGCCCCACCCAGCGGGGCTGAGAATTAGAGGGAACATTGCATTGAGCATTGCTTCGCTTTCATGAAAATTAAGGCAATGGTCCTTTAGTTACTGAACTCCTTGGCATCTCATTTCTTGGGGACTGGAATGTATCTTGAATATTTCCAGTCTGTGGGCCATTGTTTTATTTTCCATATTTACTGGCATATTCTTGTTAGGAATTTGACAGATTCAGTCTCTGTGGTTTTCAATAGTTCTATTAGTAGTCTATCTACCCTTGGTGATTTATTTCTTCCTACTGCTTTCAGAGCGGCTTTCACTTCACTTCTTAGAACATTACATGCATGATACTTGTTCTTTACTCTTCTCCGGTAGCTGATCGAGTACTTTCTGACCTGGGAGTATGATATTTGAGCATTATATCTTGTT